ACACACACACACACACACACACACACACACACACACACACACACACACACAAAGGATCTCCCCGCCCCCCTCTCTGACCTGCCAGACAGGCAGAAACTGAAGGGAGGCAAAGAGAAAGTCAACTCTCTCCACCTGCTATCCTGAAGTGGGGTGTGCTTTTGGCAGACAGAAGCCTCAGCAGTCACCTGCCAACATCCTTAAGACAAACAAACAAATACTACCCCCACCTCCAAAAAGAAAAAAATCTCATGGCAGGGGCTCAGAATACAACAGCCCGATTCCCATTAGCCTGGCAATCCCATTAACCAGAACCACCATAAATTCATGAACCTCTTCAGTCCTGAAGCCTGTGGTCTGGCGCTGTACAGAAACACAGGCACCCAGGAAACTTGCACCTGCCTCTCTTGACACAACACACCTGTCCAGCCCTGCCCATGCGCATTCTGCTAACAGACTTTTGTCTGCCTGGTTTAGGAGAGGAAACGATTTTTTTTTTTTTAACAGAGGGGTACAAGAGGGGATGGTAAAAGAAAGGAGGGCTGGGGAGGACAGAGAACCAGACAGGAGACTGACTCTTCCAGCCTTGACTTTGAGAGGAGGCCACCCTGGGCCTGCTTTATTTTCATAAGCTTAAGGAGACAACGCAGATGTTCTCGGAAAAACATAAGTAAGCAGGTGAGTTTCCAGCCTTCCCCGAGGCAAAGGGCTCTGGGCTGCCAAGAACAGCAGCTTCACACTCCAACCAGCCTCCTCAAGACTGTCCCTCAGCCCCTCCTTCTGCTTCTGTTCTTAGTCTGCCCAGAGGACTTAACTTCCCAAGAAGCTGGGCAGGGGCGGGAGAGTCTGAGTGTGGCTCGATGCTTTCTCCGGGCCCGTCGCTCTCAGCACAGGCACTCAGTTTTAGCAGGACTGACTGACTGGCACTGTCGAGGCGACGACAACTTGCTCAGCTGGACTTTGGGTGATGTCTACCGCCCCCCTCCCCCGTCTCCTCTCCTTGTCTGTTCATGCAAGATAGCAGCTCTCCCCTGTCCTCCCGCCCTCCAAGCCATTCTTCTCAGCAACAACCGCTCTCACCTCTCCACTCCGCTGGGTTCTTCTCCTCCCTCCCAGTCCTAGGAACTGGGGCAACACAGGAGCACTACCCAGCCGAGGCCGGAGCGCAGCTGCCCACTACCCGAGCGTGCCTGTAAAGGCTGGGGGCTTCTCGCCCATGGGCGGCCCAAGCACACCCCGACCCGGGGCCGGCCCTCCGCAGCGCGGCGTCCCGATGGCCCCGCGGGCGACCCCTGAGGCTCCTGGGCCAACTGGCCCTACTCTGTGCCTTCCAGCGAGGCGCGCAGACTGGGTGGAGGGGCACCGCGCTCGCTCCTCGGGACTGTCCCTCCTCGGCTGTAGAGCCCGGTGCAAGCTCCCAGCTCTGAACGCGCAGGGAGAGGAAAGTCACCCTGCGCCCCCCCCCTTCTCCGCCCTCCTCCCCACGGCCGGCCCTTGGCCCGGGGTTAAAAAGGAGAAGTGAAAGGTATGCAAACACCAAGCAAATAGGAAAAGCCGGGAAGAAAGGCAGCTAGAATAAACAAGACAAAGGGAAGGGACTGGGGACAGGCCCTGGAGTTTCTACCCGGGTAGAAGGGAAGGAAGGGGCTGGGAAGACAGCAAGAAATCTAGAAGAACAACAAAAAGGGACTCGGTCCCCCTCGCGGCCCCCTCTCCTGAGGAGAGTAAGATAAAAAAAAATAATAAAAATAAAAGAAAGCCAGAGCCTCAGCGCACCCCAGGCACGGAACACAAAAGGTGACAAGATCAGCGACAAGTCCGGCAATTCCAGCCTCTCCCCCATCGCCACCACCACCCCAGCCACCGGCAGGCACGAGAAAGAAAGAAAAGCCAAGCGGATCACTTACTCTTCGTAACTGAGAGGAGAGGAGCTCGGAGTTCCACTGAGGCTCCTGCTTAGAAAACTGTTTTTAGAGGCTATTTGATTACGATTCATGTAAATAACACCATTTTTCCCCCTGGAAAAAGAATGTTTACACGGGTGTGAGTAACGGGAGGCTCTTCTCTCTCTCTCTCTCTCCCTCTCTCTCCTTCCCATTCAAGAACAAGCCAGTGCGAGCGGTTCTGGAAAAGGGGAGGGGACAGCGACCGGGTGAAGATACTTACGCGGTGCGGGCAGCAGCGGGGCGCAGCCTCTCTCTCTCTCTCCCCCTCTCTCTCCCTCTCTCTTTCTCTCTCTCTTGCGGGCAGAGAGAAGAAACCCACGCGCGCACGCAGTGATGTCTTACGAGTGATAATTGGCCCAGGGGTCGGTGAGTCTGTGCGAGAGCGAGTGAGCGGGGCGAGTGCTGAGACGAGAAGGGAGTAAGGAGGGAGGGGAGGGGAGAGGCGCGCAGGGCAGAGCCCGGAGCCAGGGGAAAGAAGAGAGAAAGCAGAGGAGCGGAGGAGGAGGCGAGGGCTGGAGCGCGGAGCGCGGCGTGGTGGCCCGAGGCGCAGCAGGCACGGCGGTGAAGCTCCTGTGCGTCGCGCGGCTTCCCCAGCTGCAGTGGCGGACGCTTTCCCAGCGCTCTCTCAGCTGAGGGCTCCGCTCCACAACAAGATTTACTTTAAGACACAGCTGAAGGAAACAGGAAGACTGCACGTCACAGTCCCACTGACGTACCCGGCCCCAGCACCCAATCGCGAGGCGCCTTCGGATTCAAGGGGGGATAGCGAGGCAAGAGAACTTGGGAGGAAAAAAAAAATACATATACATATATATATAAAAGGGGTGGGGGTGAGGGGCTGGGGAGAGAGGAGGGGAGAGGGGCCCCGCGTTCCCCCGCCCCGGCCTCCAGCCCCGGCCCCCACCCCGCCCTGCCACTGCTTGGGGCGCCTGGATTGCCGCGCCCCGGCCGCTGCGAGCCATCTGCGGGCGTTGTGCACCACGGCGCTGGGCTCACACTGGCTCTTCCAGGACGCAGGTCTTTTTTTTTTTTTTTTTTTTTTTTTCCATTTCACTGATACAGATGATGGAGTTCTCCCAGCGGCTGAGCTAAGGAGCGCTCCCCACACTGGGGTAGAGGAAGGCATGGAAAACTATACGAGAGAAAAAGTGGAGGTTTGGGGAGGGCAAAAAGAAGGGAGTGTGTTTTGGGGGGGGATGCAAATTGTTCGGCTTTGGAAACGATCATAGATAATATCAGTAAGACCTGTCACTCTGGCTTCCTTTTAAAGAGGATGGGCAAACACAGGTAGGTTTAGGATTTAAAAAACAGGTGTCAGAGATTTCACAGCGGGGTCACTAAATCTGATGTTAAAAGCTCTGTCTATGATTGACTGAGTTCCAGTCAGACAGACCCCAAAGTTTATAGGACGACGATTCATTCTTGGTTACCTTTAAAAATATTTGAATTGTAAGCAAAGTTGCCACATAGGTTACAGACACCACATCCCAGTAAATCTTCAGTTCACGCACCCCAGGGTGGACCAAAAAATTAGTCCAATATAGAACTTACACAATTTCGAAGTCTGAGTGACAAACTTAAAAGTTTATCAGGCAAGACATCTCAAGCGTATAAAGCCATATAAAAAAAAGCACATTGGTTTGACATCTTGGATAAAAAATAGCTGCGAGATTTCTTCAGATAACGTGGCTATTAAAGAGGGCCTTGGTTTCAGTGACAAACGCTGAAGAAAGCTTCCCGCTGTGGCTGGAATGTCCCCTTCCCTGGGCACAGTTAACAGCAATGCTTACTAAGGAGACAGCGTGGATTGAAGCACCTTAGAAAGCCCGAAGCTCAGCAAAGCTGCAAAGCACTGGTAACGTTCATACCTAGGGGACTGGACACTTTTTAGAAAGGGTGGTGTGGGGACAAGTATTTTTTCCGAGTCCCTCCAATTCAATCAGATCAAAGGTTGAACCGTGTTGTGACAGAGTATGGAGGAGAGTGAGTGCACCGCCACCATCGTCTGCCACGCACACACTCATTTCTAGGACATTCCGATTTCAGCCTCCAATTCATCAGACTGGGAGAGTGTATTAATCCCCTGTGACTTGGACAGCAGTGTGTGTGTGTGTGTGTGTGTGTGTGTGTGTGTGTGTGTGTGTGTGTGTGAGAGAGAGAGAGAGAGAGAGAGAGAGAGAGAGAGAGAGAGAGAGAGAGAGAGAGAGAAGTCTGTGCCCTGTGGGAAACTTTTGGCAGGCACGGAATTCAAACATTGAAAAGAAGGAGAAAAAAAAATCAGGTCGGCCAGGCTGGTGTTCCGGAAAAAACTCACCTGAGCATCTCCCAGCCGGCTTACCCTCTCGGGCTTACCCTCTCGGGCTGCCCCCAGACCTTCCCCATCTCAGGCAGGGAAACAGCATCGCCCAGAGCCCAGTACACTATTCACACCTTCAAAGATAGGTTCCTATGGCAAGAGCTCTACTCCGGGGCTGATGGGACTGAAAAGATCTTCTCACGTGCCAGTTAGACAGGGTGGAATATTGGTTGTGTACCTTTGAGGTAAACGGATGGACTGAGGAGGGTGGAATTTGGGGTTCTGAGAATGGTCCAAAGCCACTTTCTCATTTTTCGTCCCTTTATTTTCTTTTGAAGAATCTGTTTGCGCTTGCCAGATTGACGTTTAAAAGGGAGGGGGTCGGGCAAGGAAAGAGGTGGGGGGGGCACGCAAGGGTAGAGGGAGAGAGATCATTCTGGAGTATTTTCTGTCAATTGCACCTGGTGTTCGGGTGCACGTTTTGCACACGCCACGCCTGGGTTTTGGCGGCGGGAAAAGTTTCCCCCGAGCACCTTCAAATATAAATCCTTTATCTGTCTCGCAGAGGGACAAAGTAGGCCTGAGTCAAAGCTAGGGTAACCTCCGGATAGACAAGCCAACTCCCCACCCGCAGCTCGCGCCTCTCAGGCTCGCGGCTTGTCGTGCTCAGCCCCAGCAGTTCGCAGCTTGCACTGGGACGCAGGAGCTGCGCGTGGAAACACGGATCTCTAGTCAGGCTGGGCGTGTGAGCTAGGGTGGTGACCCCCGAGTTCTGACCACTGCGGATGAGCCCTGTCTTGTCCCCTAACTGTCCGGGCCACGCATAAGTCAGGCTCCCGGGTGCTGTCTGGCCTGAGCTGTGACGCTCCCCCGGGTTCCGAGCGGCGCTGGAGCGAGGCTTGAGGCCCAAGGCCCCTGTCTCCGGGCGACTCCCGGTTTGTTTTCTGATAGCATGAAAGCAATCAGTCAGCCGGGGTGACCAGAAGTCTTCTAGACACCCGCTTCATTTGCAAAGCCAGGGGCCAAGCCTAGGATCCTTACAACCCTTTCTTTTGCCAACCCTGGCCAGCACCGCCCTAGTGATATAAAGTGAGCACAAGTTCTGGTGGGTGTTGGGACAAGCCGTCCTCGTGCAGGCTGCGTTAGCTGTTTTTTTTCTGGAGAGTGAATTGCGTGTTAGAGAAAGGCGTTTGTGCAGCGGGCTCTAGGCTAAACACACTTCGCCTTGACCTTCCCTCTGGGTGTTTCTCCTCTTCGGTTCCGTCTTTAAACCCTTAGGTGGGGGCTAAGGAGGGGAGGCAGTGTTTGTAGGTCATTTGAAACCGCATAAGCAGCAGGCATCCGCGCCTGAGAGCTGTTTTGGGGTTTTCAAGCGGATTCCGTGAAGAGCCAACGTGGGAGTGGATTTTGTAAAAGGATGTTGGAGGACCTCGGTGGCCTCCCACCAGCCCACCCACTCACCACCACCCACCTGAGGAGGGGAACAGAGGGAAGAGGCATCGGCGGCGGCGGGAGCAGACCTGCCAGCTGCAGGTTGCCTAGAGGCGGGTTGACGGCCGTCCTCTCACGCTCTCCTCCCCTGTGCCCAGCGTGACGCCGAACCCAACCTGGATTTGTTCTGAATGGTGGGGGAGAAAGTGAAATGCCACCAGATCAGTAGCAAGTAGCAGCTGCGGCGTTTCTCTCTTGGGAACCCCACTGCTCAGAAGCCTCCGAGTGATGTTTGTTTAACCAACAGCTTTCAAAGTAAACATCAGCGAGAGTCAGTCCAAAGAAGTTGGGAGCCAGGGGGGACTGGCAGAGAAAGTAATTTAAAATAATAATAATAATAAAGCCTTCTCCCCTCCAGAACAAAAAGACACCCCCCCCCGTAAAAGGGCACCGGATCGTCACAAACATATATATAGTAAGGACTTGTTAGCGACAAGGTGATCTAAAAGAAAAACACAAACCCAGGGTGATGATGAGGGGGCTGTTGGTGATGGGGGGGGGGGGCACACGACAGCCTGATGGGGGGGAAGGGGCCCAAACCCAACAAAGGGGGGGGGGGGGGGGGCATTCCCTGCCCTAGAGGAATAAGGAGAGCTGTTCGCCGCCAGCCCTGGCTTTGCCGCAGGCACCGAACTTTCCAATATCAAGATATTAACAGATGGTGCGGAGCGCTGGGAGGGCTCTTACTTACATAACCCGGCCACTGCGCCCGGCCGCGCCGCGATGCGAGAGGCGCTCGCCAGGCCTCGCGCTCGCCTTCCGTGGGGGCTGCTCTGTTCCCCGAGATCGCTTGCTCATCCGCAACCCCACCCACCCAGGCTTTGAGGGCCAAGGCTGGGAGAGGCTGTGATTTCGGTTGTCTTTTTTTTTTTTTTTTTTTTCAGTCTACAACAGGGAAGCTGGAAGAGCCTAGGTCAGAGATAAACTGAGGGATGCCTCCCGGGACACACGGGGTGCTCTCCCTCGTATTTGGGGGTGTCACAGAGTGGAATGTGCACACACATACACATTGTCACACCAACACACGCGCCACCATCACCACTGGGTGTGATCACCCTGTTTTGCTGTCAGAGAAGTACAAAGACAGGCTCTGGCCGCAGTGGTGCGGGGGTGAGGTGGGGTAAGGGTGCAAATGTGAGCAAATGCCTTGCACGTGGGGCGCAGTGGTAAATCACACCAAGTCTCTGGGTACAGCCACCCTTTCCAGTCCAGGCAGGGTAGTAAGCGCTCTGTGCGAGTGACAGTGTGGCCTCCCGTTGTCTTCACTCCCAAGGCCACCTCCCGGAGAGGCCCAGTCCCTCCGCCCAGTGTCCCAGGTCCTGTATGTCACAGTACGTGCAGGGGTGTGTTTGCCGAGCCCCTCGGCGCTGGCTTTCCTAAACCAGCTAGGAACGCTCCCGCGAGTACTGGAAAACCTGTGAGAAGAGCTGGAAGGCTGGGAGTGTGCCCGGCAGGCATTGGGCGCTACCGGGGCTCCCTCGCGGTGTCCTCCTGTCCTCACTGCTGGCCTGGCCTTCTCGATCGACCCCAAGCTAGGCGTCACAGCCTCCAGGTCGGGAAGACGGTGACCTCGAGAGACTGTGGCGCCACTGTCGCCACAGAGCGTTCTGGCGGAGGAGGTGGGGGGGGGGGAGTTCGTCCCGGCCACCTGCCGGCCACTTGGCCTGTCCCCACCAGGGTTCTACAGCCCTCGCCTCCTTCCTTGACTGCTGCACGAGTGGTCGCTTGGCCCTGTTTGGACCGGCTCAGCACACACCGGAACGCACGGGGCAGCCACCTGCTCCGGGAGCCGAGAGCGTCCCACTCGGCCCCAGCAGACATGGGCCACAGCCAGGCCCGCGCTGTCCCCGCCATGTCCCCTCCCCCGCCGCCCGCCTGTTGCTGCGGTGGTGGCGCGCCACAGCCGATGAACACACTGGAGCCGAGACAGGGGACCCTCTGCAGGAATAGGGAGAGGGGCGGGAATTAGAAAGGGATGGCGGTCTCGGGCTCAGCCTAGCCCAGCTCGGTCCACAGGTCTAGAGCTGTGTTACTGGGTCTTTTCCTTTGATGTTTGAGAATTCAGAAGTGGTTGTGCATTTTCTGGGTTTTGGGGACAGGACTTAAGTTGCAGATAGATACTCAGGGTCTCAGAGCCTGGACCGAGGACCAGTGCTAGCTACAAACAGGTCAAGGCCAGAAGAACACTAAAGAGAGCCTGCGGTTGTGAATTTATTCCCAGAGAAGGGAGCCCGATGAAGTTGCATTTTGTTTAAATTAGAGCATGACGAAGCTGAAAGCCAGATTTCTATAATTTTTTTCTGGTAATATTTCTTTTATGAAGTATCTAAGTATCTGTTTGTCATCATTTTGAGATCAAAAGGCAAGCCCATATGCTACATAGTTCCCCAAAATTGACGTTTAAATATGTTTTAAATGTTTTATTCAACGTGGAGGAGGAGGCTGCTAGAGGGGCTACCATGACGATAGGGCTTCGGAAATGGTTTGATATGGGGCAGGGGACTCTGGGGACCTGCTAATAATCAGAATTGCCCAAGATGCTTTAAAAGAAAAACAAAAACTTCCGATTCCATCTCAGGTAAAGAAATCCATGGGAGGAACTAGGAATCTGGGGGGTCATAGCAGGTCACTGGTCAGGAGTTGCCTCCTCTCTGGGACCTTGCCTCTACCTCTGTTCTCTTTATCTGTAAAATGGAAATAGTACCCCAAGTCAATGAGTTAACAGAGACGTTTGGACACAGATGAAGTTGCTCAAGACGTGCGTGATTAGGACCTCACCATTTTAGAACTCGAGAGCAAGCAGAATGCCTGGATTGTTACACAAATACTCATACAGGGGCCTCCCTCCTGTTCTCAACCTTCGCTGAAGCCAGTGCACTGTGAGACTAGCTCATCACTGTGTCCCGCCCCTACCTCATTTAAGTATACAGAATAAATCCAGATCCGCACTCATCTGCAGACTTGGCCATGTGCTCCCAGGCACACACAACTGTTTTTATCAAGTCCAGAGGAAAGCAGGGGCTGTTTCCCATCATGGCATAGGTAGCAAGTCTTCTCTGTAGAAGCCA